GCCCAACTGGGGGCTTGATCTCATGACCCTGAAATCATGACCTGAGCTGAAATCCAGAGTCGGGCGCTTAACTGACTGAGCCATTCAGGTGCCCCCGCTTGTTTTTAAAAGCATATTAAAACGTGAAATAACATGAGACAATAAAACAAATACTTTGTGAGAAGTACCCAAAATTAATTTTCCTGCATAATTTAGGCAAGGCTCAAAAATTGATACGCTGTATCCAGGGTATACAACTACATAAGTAAATCTCAAACATGGTATGTCCCTAAACTGCTTGAAAATGTTTATCTGTATTCAAGAAAATTCCAATCTAAAAAATGGATCTAATTCTTTCTCACTACAGTAACACCTAATTGAGGAAACACCAGCAAAATCAGCAGGCTTGGGTTCCATTTTACGTTTGTCACCAAACTAGCTGCCCATTTTGCTATCATTCACTTATCAGGTATTTTTTGAGAGATTATGTGCCGGAAATTGGAAACACAGTAGTGAAGAAAATATCAAAATTTCCTGCCTTCATGACATAACATAGTCAATAACTTCATCTCTAAAAACAATTCCATTTTGTTTCTCTAAAATAAAAGATTTTTATATTGAGTATTTTTAATTCTTTAAAAATGAAATTCATATTATTTGTCTGAGTCTGGGAAAGCAACTTGTGGAGCATAACCTGAAATCCACTCTTGCCAGTGGCTGAAACTATTTGTTGTATCATCATATTCAGATAGCAAATAAAGGTAAGAAACTGATATTCTCAAAAGACTTATTTAAATTTGCTAATTTTGGTTTATACAATCTAGACAAATTATGAGCCTTATTAGCCTATTACCTGGTAACTAAATTCCTTGGATGGGATCCAAGAAAGAAGCAGAACAATCTTAGGAGAAATTCTCCATATAATGAGTAATTTTACAGACATTTCCAGTATGTAGGTCTATAAAAATATAGATTGACCAGTGAAACAACTAAATCAGCATATTGTTTCTTCGGAGTAGGATTTGACCTTTGTTTCCAAAGTGCTTGCTACTAAACAGGTAGTCAGAAATCCAAATCATGTATTCAAATCCAGTGGCTATGCCTAGTCTTTTTCTTTTATTTATCATCAAGATATATTTTTTCCCCACAATGAAACAGGCATAACAGTCCCTCAAGGATAATTTCTCAATTTCAAAATGGTAAGTTTTTTAAATGTCTCGCTTACTCATTTTTGCCAGATAAACCAGTATCACAAATTACATCTTGGATAAGACCATAACAATATTCAATTTAAAGATCCTTTCCCTCACAGGGACATACAGAGACACCAAAAGTGATTCTAGACATGAGCCTGCAATTTCTAATCTCCATGTCATTCTCTTTAGCGTCATTCTCAAAAGAGAAAATGACTTGAGTATCTGCGGTGAGAAAAAAAAAAAAAGACAACGACGATGAGAAGCATACCTAAGAGGTTCCTCCATTTATTTTCAATTCATAAAATATGTTTAAAGTTTGCCAAAGCAAGCTAATTCAACCCAACTTCAAAAGACAGTGTAAGCAGTAGTTCCCAATTATGTTAGTCTCAGAATCCTACTGTTAGTTTCATATGCTATTTGCTGTATTTGTGGATTTTTTTTTTTAAGTTTATTCATTTATTTTGAGAGAGTGAGCATGCAGGAAAGGAGCAGAGAGAGAGAGGGAGACACAGTCCCAAGCAGTCTCCATGCTGTCAGCACTGAGCCCGACATGAGGCTTGATCTAACGAACCAGGAGATCATGCATGACCTGAGTTGAAATCGAATCAGATGCTTACAAGACTGATCCACGTAGGTGCCCCTATGCTTATTTTTTAAGATGTTTCAAGAATATGAGCAGCACCACATAGAATAACTGCATATGTGGAAGTGCTGAAATTGCTAGCAAGAAGAGATGATGAAGAGAAGAAAGTGATTAAACAACTTTACATAAAACACATATAAACAGCAATTATTTATTTCTGTTTTCTACAGTAATCCAAACTATTAAGTGGCCTCTAGAACTAGATTCTCAACAGGTTTATCAAATATCAAATTGCTAAAGGAAACCTTAAAACATCCATTTATATTTAAAAACCTCATACTGATGAACATTGTTTACTTGATTTATAGTTTAGAATTCAATAAACGAGAAAACTGATTAAACTGATGTGACATTACTTAGAAGAATTATTACTGTCAAATACTAATTATCCAGCTCTCCTGCTGCTCACCTTCTAGACAGAACCCTTATTACTGGCAGCCAGTTATAATGGGGTGTGGGGTAAACGTCCAGCTTTAGAACCAGGAAGACATGGGTTTGAACTTTGGTGCACCACACCTTGAACCTATTTTACATCTCTAAAATGGGAATTTATTGATATCTACCTTGAAGAACTGTTATTAATTAGTGAAATACATGCAAAGCAAGCTGGCACATAGTAGGAATTAGAGAAACCTTAGCTGCTACTATTACTGTATTACTCATAAGCACATCCAAGAGAAGATATAAGAAAGAACATGACAGGGAAACACAGCCTAGGTTACATTTAACTGCTGAGCCAAAACAAAACAAAATCGAACACACTCACTCTGATAGTTCAAGGAAAACTATGGGCTAAACTTTTTGTTCACATTTTAGATATACAAGATAATACTGTAGTACCTCTTCATAAATATATAAAATCCAAAATCAGCTACAAATCCACTTATTTTGGAGCTAAATAAAAATGAAAGATTATTATCACACAGTACAACAGATAATTTTATGAACAGGTGAGATGATTTCACCATTGGAAAAAAAATGCTGAAACTAAGATTTAAAAAAGCTTATGAAAGGATAGTAAAAGAGTCCTACCTTTAAACCGACTGCTATAAGATCTGTAACAACACTGTATGGAAAAAGTAAAAAGAGAAAATGGAAAACAAAGTTAGAGAACAAGTTTTTAAAAGACAGAGATAATAAGATTAAAGAAAAAAGGAAAAGCACTATAATAATAAAAATTAATAAAAATAAGAATGTGATGAGTTATGAAATGTTAATACAAAGAAAAGTGATGGGTCAGTCTAGCAACAGCAGAGTATAAAAGCAAAGCTTTAACCACAACATAAGAAACAAATAGTAGATCAAATTCTTTTAGTATTCATTAAAGTATAGGTGTGTTTCAATAACATGAATATGTGTTTATCCATTTGCCTCTATTTAACAAATCCAAATCAAAACTTAAAAATCACCAAATTTCATTCTTTTAAATCACTGGTCTGAATTATCATGTTTAAAATTCTAAATGAAATAAAACCACTGAGTGGCTTTTACAGAAATAGAAGGTATCTTGCAAATTTGCATCTACCACCCAAAACAGCTCACCAAAATACAGCTAAGATAGTCTCTCAGAACTAAAATAAATGCAAACATCAAATTTCAGACATGAAAAATTTCAAAGATCTGCTTTAAAAAAAAAAAGCTCTACCACATCAAAACTGTGTTTAAGTATAAATTATCTCAGGAGGAAATGAACACATACACACACACAAAAGACAGTTGGAATTTGAGGAAGAACTAGAAAGATACAATGACTGGTGGTTTGTTGTTTCTTTTTTAACTATCCGAAATAATGAAAAAGGACCTTTTTCAGGCTGTGGGAAAATGCAAAAAGTTAATTAGCCTCTAGAAGCAAAAATTCAGTGTGTTCAAAACCACATCCCTTAACCCCAAGGTGTAGAAACTCTATAAAGTTCTCCCAAGCAAAAATCCATCTCTTCTAACCCCCAAGAAACCATCTTCAATTACAATTTACCTCCATATCTCCTAAAGCTCTAACTAAATTCAACATATTATTAAGAACCTTTACCGCTATTACTTAATAAAAGTAAACAAATTTATGAATCTGGCTTGCTCAATGATGCAAATTTACTTGTTTTAAACAACCATGTAGGTTAAAATTTTTTCCTTAGACTTGGTGAAAACTTGAAATTCATTTGTCTGAAATTTAAATGTGTCAAATAACTGTGCATAAAAATTAAGATTGTATCAGTCCTGAACTTACCTTCCAGGATCTGTCTTACTGCCTCACATATTTCAACGAATAAACAACTCATTCTTAGCTTTAATAACATATAAAGGGTGGAGAGTTATTAAACTATCCAAAAGAGTAAGTCTGCACTGCACAAAATGCAGAACTCCAGTCCTCTTTATAATCACTATAAATTTTCCAATACCAAAAGCTAGCCTGCGTCCACAGCTCAAGTCAAATCATCTAACGGACAACACACTACACACTGTGAGACACCAATTTCACAACCTCCCTAAACTGAAATACTGGCATAATTACACAAATAATTAAAACAGCAAAATTATGCACCCATATAAAGTGTAACTGAATAAGGTGATGTGCAGTGAGTTTTCAACAATGCTCTCAGAAAAGTTTCAATTAAACAATAAAAGTAGCTTCAATTAAATTAAAACAAAATAAAGAACATCACAACCATGAATGAAATCTAAAATCGCACTTTGTCTAAAGTCAGTAGCAGTATGCAATTAGCATTCAAATGAGTTAATCCAAATATTCCATACACTTCATACTGTGAAAATACATAAATGAAGTCTAACGAAGACAAAAATTGTTGGAAGATTCCATTGTCTTTACACAGTATGGCAACAATCATCAACTATATGGTAACATGCACAAGGCTTTTACTGTTTAAGCAAGTTTCATATATTCTACAACCAAGGGGTTTGCAGATATCTTGTCCTCAAAAGCAAGTAAAAGGCCACACAAAACCTCAAATACATAATAGGAATAAGTAAGAGGATTTGCAAGCTCTAATAGAGTTGGAGATATTTTAAAAATCTTGATGTACATATGTAACAATAATTAATCTATGAAGATCTTAATCCAGTCGTTTCCTTAAACATTAAATTATCTGTCATGTCCCACGCCAAATCCCTGGGTCCTCAGACAAATATTTATAACGGCGATTCCAAATCTTTTTATTTTGGTCACGGACCTCATTAACTTTTAAAGAGCTCCTCGAAAATTGAAGAAATTCACGGGGCTTCTTTTGGGGGGTTGTGAGGGAGAGCGTCCACGGTCACCAAGTCCAGACGCCCGGTATACAGATATCGTTGGCACAGCTCACAGCCCAAGTCGGGAGACCTCCTCCGGTACCCCCCCGCCTCCCCGCACGTCTACATCCGCGGGGGGCACTGGCCTCGGGACCAGGTCGCCGCCCAGACGTGCACCGACGCGTGCACTCGCCATCCGCCTCTCCGCGGCCGCTCGCCTCCCCGCCAGGGGAAGCTCCGGCGCTCGCCCCACCTCACCGGTAAACAGCAACTCCCCAAGCGGGAGGACGCCCGCCCCGAGCGCCGCCTCCGCCTCCCCCAGCGCCGCGCACCATTTTCTGAGAGGAAGTGTCGGCAGGCCGGGCCGGGCTCTCCGGACTCTTCGCGCGGAGGGCGGACCCCGGCACCCGGCGGCTGCACCCGGCTTTCCTCCGCTTCCGGGTGTGAGGATGGGAAGGGGCGGACATTACAGGGGCGCCCCGTGGGGGAAAGAGAGGCGGCGGCGGACCGCCCCTCCACGATTTCGGGCCGCGCGGAAGCCCCGCCGTCGGGCTCGGCCGGGGCAGCTCCTCCGGTCGCCAACGCCGCGCCAGGCTCCCCGGCCGCGGCGCGTCCGGCCGAGAGCCGAAAGGAAGCGGGGCAAGCGCATTCGATGAGCCACCGAGTACTTACCCATCCATGGCCCAGACTGAGGAGCGCACGGTGCGGGGACTGACGGGCTCACCGCGAGCGGAGGGCGGAGGCGGCGGCAGCTGGGCGGCTCCGGGGACTGGCAAGCGGCGCCTCTCCGGAGCCCCGCCGGGTGGGAGGTGGAAGGAGAGTGGGAAACAGGGGCGGAGACCAGGGACGCTCCCGCCACCGCCGCGCCCCCACCTCCCCCACCCCGCAAGCGCGTCCCCGCCTCGCCTCATCCCGCCCCTTAGCGTCGACGCCCTCCCTCCACCCCGCCTCCAGCCGGCCTCCGGCTCGGCTCCAGGGCGCCCTCTTCCTGCCGTTGCCCTAGGACTCCGCCTCCCGGCCTCTCATCCCAGCGCACGCGCGCGCCTCGCCCCTGCCTCCCTCCTGCGTTCACGGGAGCGCGCTCCTTGTGCTTCTCTCTTTGCAGTCCCGCCCGCCCACCCGCGGGCCCTGCCGGCCTTCCGGCTACTCTGCCTCGGGCTGCCTGGGTCCGACTCCGCTGTCTACCGGCGGGAAGAGCGTTGGAGACCCGACTCCTGAGTGTAGGTAGGAGTGTCTCGCCAGGACCCCAGAACCGCGCTAGAATTGCTCCTGGTGAGCGAGGCTGGCGGTGGCTCGACCCCAAGCACCGAGGCAAGGCGCGGGCAGTGGTCTTCCGAAGCCCCGAGCCCTGCAACCCACGGAAGCCTGGGTTCAGGACCCGGGCCGGTGCGAACTCCAGTGCGGGACCCGCCGGTCGTCCGCCGGGTCCTATGAGTGTATCTCTGGGATTCCCAGTGGCCCGATAGGTTGAGATTAAAATGAATGAGATGAAACAGACTGCCCGCAACTTAAGAACCTCTCAATTGTGTACAGTTTTAGTCTCTATTCGACCCTACTGTCTGGGTTTGGATTTACACGAAATAGTCGTTGCACAATACGGAAGGGCCACTATATTGCCAGTATTTTATACAGGTTTTCATATCCCTTCATGTAAAGAAACATATCCTATGACGGAGTGATGATTCCCTTTTTTTTTCCACGTGAAAATGTAGATACTGGTAGTGATTTGCCCACAGTTTCACTGCCACTAGATCTCTTTCCTCTCCTCTGGGCAAAATTTTGTATCTAAGTAGTGGCACCTCGATCGTTTTCCCTTTTATATGCTGTATGGTTCTGAAATTCAATGATTTCCCAATTCACAGTTCATCAAAACATGAGCCACGAAAGGCTGTCCTCAACCAAATTCTTAACCTGACCAGGAAGAGAGGGGCTGCCCCCCCCAGCCTCCTCATTTGAAAAGCAAGTAACAAGACACTCAGTCATCCTCTATCTTTGCTAGTATCCTGCTTTTAAATAAGTAGGTGCTACTAAAACGACTTAAACTGTCTATTCATCCATCATTAAGGCATTATTTATTGTTTACTATGTGCCGAGCACTGCAGAAATAACCAAGAAATCAGATTCCAGCCTTCATGGTTGAATGGATTCCTCAATCACTTTATTATTTATTGGCAAAAAAAAATGTTTCAGATAGCTCAGGTATCTAATTCAGGGAGCCTACTTTTAAAGAACTGTATCTAACTTCAATCCCTCTTTCCAAAAGATAAAATATATTTTGTTTTATATGTTAAATACAATATTAAGTTGCACCCTACATTGCCAGACAGATGTTAAAAATTCAGCAAGACAAGCTATTTTTTTTTAATGCTTATTTATTTATTTTGAGAGAGAGAGAGAGAGGGAGGGAGCACAAGCAGGGGAGGGGCTGAGAGAGGGAGAGAGAGAGAATCCCAAGCAGGCTCCACACTCAGCACAGAGCCAAGGTGGGGCTGGATTTCACGAGCCTGGTATCATGACCTGAGCCAAAATCACGAGTTGGATGCTCAAAAGGCTGGGCTACCCAGGTGCTCCTACTTAATTTGTTTTTATACTGCATACTAGGTCATAATTTCATGTACCGTAATTAATTTAACCTCTTCCAAAATAGTGGAAATTTAGAGTTGCTAATTCAAAATAACAATATTGCAAAGAACATAATATATATGAGCATCGCTGCACATATGAGTGTTTCTGAGGAATAGGTTCCTAGAAGTAGAATTGCAGAACAAAGAGGTATAAACATTTTCAAGTTTGATAAATATTGCCAAAATGATTCCAAAAAGGCTGTTCTGATTTACATTTTCTTAAGTTGCCTTTCTCTTAGCCCCATGCCTTAAGATAGCTGACATATTTCAGTTTTAAAAAATAAATGTGAAATCGATCTGAAGCTCATTGTCCCTATTACTAACAATAGCTCTGGAAAGTCTCCAATGTAAAGATAGCATATCTGACTAATGAACAAAACTGACATTTCCTAAACACTTAACATCCCATTTTACAACAGAAGCATAGATAGAAGAAAACAGCTCACAACAGAAAGCAAGGTGAAACCTTTCTATTTCTCTTGCCTTTTGGTCCTAAGTTCAAAAGACTTCTCACTGATTGAGTGCCTTAGGTTTGTGAGTGCCTCTGATTCAAAACAGTAGACAGAATAGAAGTTAGGTCTTCTAGAACCACTTTTAGAATCCTAGATATTCCCATAGTCCAAATGGCATGGGAAAACCATGGCCTTCTATAATCTCAGCAAAAGTTTCTGAGGTTCCGGAATGATCAGATATCATCCACAAGACCTAGCTGGTCATGAGAACTTTATGTCCTGTCGAGTGGCTTTTTGATGGTGAAGAGAATATTGTGTTCTCTGTTTGCTCTAAACTTTTGAAAAGTAAGACAGTTACAATGACTTAATTTATAAATTTTCTAAGATTTTGCTTCTTTTTTTGTTCTAATTTGTCTAAGAAATTCCCCTGGGGGAAAAAAAATAAGAAATTCCCCTGAAATGCCTTCACTGAGAAGACACACACACACACACATCCACTTCATCCACTATTATTATGTTTGGACAAAATGTAGCTTTTGAACATTTGCCTTAAGGCATTCCATTATGCATTGATAGTTAACCTTTAACTAACATTACCCTATTCATGTTTACAGGTAAGACTTCTTAAGACATACAAGTAATAGAAAGATGCCAGTATAGGTCAGAAATAAGATCAGCCTTTAGGTGAATCTGGAAGGAGCATATTTTTTTTTTTTTGAGAGATAATTCTTTATTATTTTTTCTGGAAGGAGAACATTTTAATATATTATCCCATGACAAATAGAAAATATAATCATTAATATGTATTCCTTAAAATAGAAACTGTACTGAGTAAAGAAAGCTAAATGCCAAAGGTACCCATTATGATTCCATTTGTATATAATATTTTCAAAATGAAAAAATTATATATATGGAGAACAGACTAATGGTTTCCAGGGGTTAGGACCAGGGTGGGAGAGTATGGAAAGACAAGGGGACAGATGGCACTATAATGGAGTCACAAGGGGATGTTTGTGGTGATGGAACAGTTCTATATCTTGATTATGGGACTAGTTATACAAGTCTACACATGATGAAATTACATAGAACTTTAGACACATGCAAGTGCATATAAATCTGGCAAAATCTGAATAATAAGATTTCTGGATTGTATCGATATCAATTTCCTGGTTTTGTTATAATTAAGATGTTACTTTGGGAGAAACTGGGTAGAGAGTACACAGGACCTCTTTGCACTGCTTTTTAAAGTTCGTATGAATCTGCAATTATTTCAAAAGAAAACTTGAGGAGTGTTCCCTTCAAACTTGTTATTTGCTCAATAGCTAAGCAATAATAAACTTCAAGGCTTAAGAAAAATGTGTGGGAGTATAATTCACATTTTTCAGGCTACATCACCTTGGTAGTTAGTCAAACAGGGTTATAATAGCTAGCACACTGAGCCTCACAGACTGCCCAATCTGTCGAATTGTGAACCTTGCTTTAAAGGCCCTCCCAACTATCAGGAGGAAGCTTGAAAGCATCTCCTACTGACTGCTCTACCACCATGAGTCATGTCCACTTTCTTCAACCTGTACCTGGCCCTGACATACTCATCTGCACATGAAGCTCCTAACATGACCAATACCTGGTTCAGAGGTTTCCAATGTTTGCGTGGAAGGTGCTGTCTCCTATCACCATCCTGTAGTAGGACCTACCAGCCCATATCAGAATTGCATTGGATTTTCTGGAGCATTTTTCCGAAATGGGAGCATTCCTTTCCCCTTTTTGTCATATCATATCACATAGGTCCCTCAAAATTTTTAATGAAACAGCCCTTTCCATTTTTATTCACAGAAATCTTTTAGGATTTAAGCATGAATTTGTGGGGACTAGGCCAGAGAACCAACTAACAATCACCGCAGTGTTCCAAGTGTCATCACAGAAATCTTTTAGGATTTAAACATGAAT